CCATCAGACAAGCTGACAGGACATCAGCAGTCTGGGAGTCGCAGTTAAAAGAGAAGTAGATTTGGGTGTAATCCGCATACATGTGGAAATTGACCCCATGTCTGCAGATGACATCGCCGAGAGGGAGTAAGTAGATGATGAAAAGAAGAGGGCAAAGGATAGCGCCTTGGGGTGTCCTGCAGGTGACTGGGTGGGGCGGGAGGAACATGAGAACATAAGAACTTAAGAAATGCTGGATGAAAAAAGACCACAGTCCATCTAATTCGCATTCCACCTTCCTGGCGGTCGGATGCACATATATCCCAAAGTACCTATGTACTAGATCCCTTAATGTTATTTCCTAAAAGAAAATCTGCATTTGAAAGAATCAACATTTCCTGCTTCAAACATCTCCCTCGGGAGCCTGTTCCACAGATTCATTATTCATCACTGAAATACTGATACTGAAACACTGAAACATGGATACATTTTGAATTTGCCCCCCTTCAATCGCAGGCCGTGTCCTCTGGTTTTACTATTCTGGATAAGTTGAAACAGTCTTTCATGATCTATATTGCCTTGCCCCTTTAGAATATTAAAGACAGCAATCACATCGCCTCTCAATCTTCTCTTTACCAGCGTGAACATACTTAGCTGCTATACAGTGGCAAGATTACCCCACTATTTCGGCTTGCTATTAATCTTTTGATACATTCCAACATCTGGTTGCTGCCACAGAGCATTGTTGGGAGAGCTTCAATCAGGACCCTCAGGTCCTTTTCATTTTCCATACATATTATTTTCCTTCCTTTCAAATGATAGTCCCTTCCAAGATTGTTTGTCCCCATGTGAAGTACTTTACATTCCTCCATATTGAATTTCATCTGCCATCGATTTGCCCAATTCCCAAATATGTTCAAATCCTCCTGTAACATATCTTGTTCAGCTTCGCAATCTACCACCTTCATTAGCTTGGTGTCATCTACAAACAACAACAACAACAACAAAATTATATTTATAGCGCGCCTTTCACGTCGAGAGGACGTCCCAAAGCGCTGAACAGTCAGGTGTCGGGGCCTGAGCATGGGGGAGGGGTGGTATAGGGGTGAGGGAGGGCAGAGAGGTGGGAGGGAGACCAAAGCTACTATGCTGCGAATCCTAATTCCAGATCATTTTTAATAATATTAAACAAAAGAGGTCCCAAAACAGATCCTTGTGGAACTTTACTAGTAACATATTCCTAGTCTGATGACATTCCCTGTACCACCACTCTCTGGGTTCTTCCGGTCAACCAATTGTGTATCCATTATAATATACCTCCACTGATTCCCGCTTTCTTTACTTTCAGTACCAGTCTCTCAAGCGAAACTAAATTAAAGGTCATACTGAAATCCAGATATACAACATCCACAGCTCCCTTTCACATCGTCAAAGAAAAACAGTAAATTAGATTGGCAAGACCTTCCCTTCATGAACCCATATTGGCTCTCATTTATGATTTAATTTCTGTCCAAATGCTCTACGATTTTATCCTTAATAAGAGTCTCCATAATTTTATCCACAATGGATGTCAAACTTATTGGTCTGTAGTTTCCTGGGTCACTTTTGTTACCTTTCTTAAAAATAGGAGTAACATCTTCCTTTCTCCAGGCACCTGGCACCTTTCCAGTATTCAGTCATCTTTGAAAGATTTGTGCCAGCGTTTCAGCAACTTCCTCCCTTAGTTCCTTGAGGATCCTCGGATGCAATTTATCCAGCCCCTGGGATTTATTTACCTTAAGTTTACACAGCTGTTTGGCAACCATGCTGGTAGTGATATGAATAGTGTCGCAACTTTTCTCTGCGACATGCTTTAATTCTCTTTCCAGATCAGATAGGTTACCCGCCTCCTCCTTGGTAAAGACTGATGGAAAAACTTATTTAGCACAATTGCAGCCTGTGCACCATTATTTGTTATGTTCTCTCCCGAACCAACCTACCAGGAGAAACCATTTGCTGTGTGATATACTGTTGGCAGTTAGTCAAGTAGGACTCAAACAATGTGAATGCACTCCCTCTAAGGTGGATGAGGGTGGAGAGGAGGTGGAGGATGATGGCGTGATCTACTATGTCGAACGAGCCCTGGTCACTGAGAGAGGGGACGTGATTTGTTACTTTGATGAGCGCTGTCTCTGTGCTGTGGGCAGGCCAAAAAACGGGTTCGAGTAGGGAGTGGAGGGAGAGGTGTGAGCGAAGTTGATTCGCACCACGCATTGCAAGCTAGGCAAGTTTAACTGAAGTATTGTTTCTCTACCAATTTGAACAGAAGCCCAATCCAGCAAAATAAACATAATGTAGCCCTCTACTGAGCTCACATTTGTCTGGTTGACATCAATATGTCCAAATATTTTTATAGAGGAAGACATTATAAATGTTCCTATTTAGGAAAGTCTGTTAATGTTGAATTAATTATGTCATTAGTCATCAGCTCTTTCACAATTGCACATCACATCCAAGTGTGTTTAGAATGCCTGGCAGTGCAATCAATAACACAATGTAATGCCAGCTCAGAATCTGTGTCCGAAATGTTATTAGGAGAATCCTGCTCGCAAATGTTAAATTGATTTAAGGTGCATAATTATCATTAGAGAGTATAATTTTACATAAAAAATCAGAAGGCTACCAAAAACTGAATTGAGTCATTAACTCGTGTAGAAGATGTTCATGTCATTCAAGGCAAAGAACAATTTCTGTACCTATTCACACCTCAGATACACCACATCATAGAAGAAGCATAAGAGCAAGTCACTTATTCAATCTCTCATTCAGGGAAACCACAATGGGAAGTAAAAGGAAGGGGAAATTAAAGAGTAACATAACCTAATTTAATGTTAAATTTAATATTACAAATGGACTTAAGTTTTGCAGGTTAGTGCAACAGTGTATCTAAAACTTAAAGTGCTCTTAAATATGAGACCAATGCTGTCTTTATAACAATACAACACAATTTATATTTATATAGTGCCTTTCACATCGGGGGGACATTTCAAAGTGTTTAACAATGCTGGATAGCTTTATACTCAAGCTGGAGGTGGGAGTCGAGTGGGGGGGTGGGTGGATGGAAGGTGTCCGAAGGCACAAAGTTCTGAGACAGATCTTGATCAGGAGAGGGAAGGAGGAGTCGGAGAGACTCCACAATGGAGTTCCAGAGAGCTGGAGCAGAACAATAATCCTTGTATTTGATGCAGCGCATTTCATGCCAGAAGGGTATCTCAAAGCACTCCACAGTAAATACTGTAAAGTGAAGGGACTGTGTATTTTTCAGGTGAACGCCTCTATACTGGATGAAAGTGCAAAACTAACAAAGCTATTCCATGCACTGATGCTGTGATGATATTATTATTTCTTTCAATGCTGTTAATGTGTTACCTATAGGAACGGTCATAGTATAGAATTGATTCATATTGTGTTCGGCACCTCCAGTCAATAGCTTTGAGTTTGGGTAATTGACAATTACCTTGAAATTGTTTTCAAGGGCAATGGGGTAAACAACACGACAGCGCTCCTTAACCTCCTTAACACATTCCTTCTTTTAAATAGCACAAGGAACATGTTCATAGAATCATAGCATTATATAGCACAGAAGGAGGCCATTCGGCCCATCGTGTCTGTCCCAGCTCTTTTAAAAGACCTATCCAAATCAATCCCACTCCCCCACTCTCTCCCCATAGCCCTGCAAACTTTTCCTCCCCAAATAATTATCTACTTCTCTCTTAAAAGTTTTGAGAAATAAATTTGTAAATTTGTTCCATAATTGGAGTAACCAAGTAAGTTTCCTCACTAACCTTGTAATGAACGTGTTGCTCCCACCTTCTGATCTATACAGTTGTTCCTCCAGATCAGCAACCAGCAGCCCAGTGTATAAACAACACAGGAGACTGACTATAAATTCAGGAACCAGAGCTAAGCTCTAGGAATGCCCGTTCCAATTCCATTTAAGGAGTGTAGCCATTGAGATTTCTCTACCAATGTTTATATTCCTTACATAACAATACTATATATAGTGGAATAGAGTTGGTGTCAGCATTCTCACAGCCAGCATCAGGAAACTAGCTTTGTAGTTGGTCTCTTCAGGTTTTTTTACACACTAGGCTGTAAGACTGGCATGTGTTTACACACTAGGCTCTAAGCGCTCTGGGACTCTACCCTGTGTGAGGAATGATAAATAAATGCAAGTTGTTGTTGCAGGCTGTGGAGAGCTGATGTGGAGCAGCATCTGTGAAAGAAAGGCTGAGGAGCTGTGTTCATTACAAAAGTAAATGAGGGAGACTTTACGCCGAGTCTCGTCCCATCTCTTTGAATGCACCTATGGCTACCTTCAACTCCCCTCCCCACCCACCCTTCTCTCATTTGCTCAGTGACCAACCCTGTCACCGTGAAGCACTCTGAGATGTTACCCCACATGAAGAATGATATATAAATCTAAGTTGTTTTTGTAGTTAACAACATTTCAGTATTCCTCATTCGTTCCTGCGATAATTCATGCGAAAATTCATGCAAAAAAAGTTAAGTACCGCTGCAAATACTACCCCTAATACACCTAATGAATTGTAAACCTCATCCAGACCTTCGTATGCAAATCCTTACATTTGATATAACACCTTTCACATCAGGAGGACGTCTCAAAGTGCTTCACAGGATATATTGTGAAATGAAGTAGCTGTGTACTTGTGGATGAACGCAGCATCCAATTTGCATGCAGCAATGTCCCACAATCAGCCATGAAATGAATGACCAATATTTTAATCAAATGATTATTGACCATGAGAAACTCACTTCTCTTTTTGAATAGTGCAATGGGATCTTTAATGTCCATCTCAACAGGCAGACAAGACCTTAGTTTAACATCACATTCGAAGAATTGCATCTCTGAGAATGCAGCACACTCCCAGTGCTGTAATGGAGTATCCTGGACTATATGGATTCAAAGTCCCAACATTGGGCTCGAGCCCACAAAAAGGTGATGTGTTTCCACAACTTACCCAGGAGTCTCTCGAGCTGTCATTTTCTTTGACAGTACTTGATAATATGGTAGTTTCTTGAATTTCTCTGACCCCACGGCTACATAGTACTGAGTGTTGTCCAATTCAGCTGCCCCCAACAAGGATATTCCATCTAATGTACAAAGTCTGTCAAGAAAAAAGATATGATTCTTAACTACGTTTTCTAAAACTTTTTTGGGGAGACAAACTTTAGCCTCATTTAGCTGAGAGCAGGGGGAAACTATCTGACCCTCAGAGAAAAAAATATTTTCTACTTGCTAGAAACTAAACTAAAATTAGAAATCAAGGGTTCTGAAATCAGCCAAAACACAGATTAAGGAAAAGCAAAGTGCACTCTATACCAAAATAAAGCAAATAAAATCACCTCCTATTTCACCAAGTGCGACATTTCAATTTCCTGCAGTAGCAGTCAGCTAGGTTTATTTTCTTTTGTGTACTAAGTGGAAAATAGATTGAAAGTTTCCCAGAGACTTTTCACTTAGGGCTGTTATAGCTGATTAAAGCTATCGTTTTACGCTATTACTCTTTTCTGAATGTAGGTAGTCATATCTGCCAATATATTCTCCTTAAAGTACCATTGAGTATTGGTTTGATGTATTTTCTGGAAGGGGGCATTCAGTATACCATACCTGTACTAGCCTTTATGGCAATTCTGCTTTTATGGCATTTCGTAATAAGATTCCTGAGCGAGGAATTCCATTAGAATTCCTGTTAAAACTACAGGGACTCAACTCTAGATGTAGATTGTTTCAGAGCAGAGCTCCTGTGGGTCAGTGTGACATGCAATACAATTTACATTTGATAGAGCGCCTTTCATATCCGGAGAAAATCTCAAAGATCCGCACCCTGCTGGCTGGGCACCAAGCTGGGAGTGGGAGCTGAGGGGGTGGGGAAGGGAAAGATGACTGAAAGCACAATCAAAGAGGTACATCCAATTAATTTGTAACTTGCATTCTTTATCAAGTGATCCTGTTAAAAAAATGCCGCAAACTAGAATTCTCTTGCATGTGAGCTATGGGACCTTGCTGATATTTACTCCAAACGCCTCTGTTTATCTAGCAGTAAGTAGAATAGTAGCCCATTCCTTCTAATCATCGTACAAAGCCACCACTACCATGAACTTCACCTTTCTCTCCACAGAATCCTACAAAGCATTGTCAGAAGGTTCAATACTCATTCACAAACACACACATCTGCAGTATTCACACTCAGCCTGCTGCCCTCCCAAGGGAACAGTCACCAAGCCTGATCCCAAGACCAAAGTAACCATTATGTTTCGTGGAGTTGAAAAAAACAGGAGCATAGAAACATAGGAACAGGAGTAGGCCATTCAGCCCCTCGAGCCTGTTCCGTCATTCTATTAGATTATGGCTGATTTTTACCTCATCTCCAATCTGTACCTCAATACTTTTGCCTCAACACATCAGGAAGATGTCTCAAAGAGCTTCACAGGATTTTACTGTGAAATTCAGTGATCTGGATTTGTAGGTGATCGCAGCAGCTCAACTGCACACTGCAATGTCCCACAAATAACTGTGACCAATTTTATTTGGGGGAATATTGGCCAGGTCACCAGAAGAAACTCTCTTCTCTTTTCAAGTAGTACCATGGGATCTTTAATGTTCACCTGAACAGGAAGTCGGAAGCTTGGTTTAACATCTCATCCGAAGGATGGCACCACTGACAATGAAACACACTCCCAGGACTTCACTGGAGTGTCAGCTTGGACTGAGAGTTCCAAGCACCCAATTTGGGATTTGAACCCACAATCTTCTGAGATAAGAATGCTACCAATTGAGCCAGCCTGGCTCACTAACTGCTCTGTTGCCAAACAGAATTCTTCTAATCTCTAGTCCCACTAGAGGGCTTTTCATTTGAAATCTAGCCATCCAGTTCTGCTCATATGGAAAATGTCATTACCAATTCAAAGGGCAACATTCAACGGAATACATGCCTCCCGTGTCATGCTATTTACATGATTAACTTTGCCTCTGCATTGCAAACAAGTCACAGTTTATGCAGCTAAATTGCTAAGCACGAGTGTTTGTTGATTAATTTTAATCTAAGGTCACTAGTAGATTGTGAGCCATCCTTACATAGGATTTTGAGTATTCTTACTCCTTATTCATCGCTGCTGTATCCTTTACACACTGTATATACAGAGTGAAGTGGGGGCTGAGAAAGATAGTGTGAAAATTGGACCATCCTGTAAGTGTGGTAGAAGATAAGTATAAATTAACTCTGATTCTGTATCAGGTCAACTGTAAAATGGATGTTGCTCTTAATGAAGGTCACTTAATAAGTATGTTCTGAAAAGAGACATTCTCTCACAATGGAACTCTTGAGAAGCACTAATTGTGGTGTAATTAGATAACTACAATGAGTTTTGCACCATGATAAAAAGAGGCAATTTCCTTTCACCACAGCGTGCCCATTAACAACTTCTACTGGTGCTCACCCTCAAATAATTGTAAATAGACAAACAAGGAAGAAAATATGATATCTTGAGTCTTAACGTTCATTTTCTGTTACATTTACATGTCTTTTAGGTTGATTCAAATTTGTAGAAATTACAAATAATAATAATAATTCTTACATTTGGCACAGAGCCTTATGTCGGGAGGATATCCCAAAGTGCTTCACAGGATATACTATAAAGCGGTGTGATTGTGTGTATTGTTTTGGGTCAGCCGGGTGTCAGCCAATTAGGGTTAGCTACAATGTCAGAGGTGCTGGCCATCGGATGACATGTTAAACTAAGGTCCTGTCTGTCTGATTAGGTGGCCGATAATCATCCGCGGCATTATTTGAAACAACAAATGAGTTTCTTCTGGTATCCTGGACAACAATCCCTCAGATAAAATTGGTAATTAATTTCATGGTTATTTGTGTGACATTGCTGGGTGCAAATTGGCTTCAGTGTTTGCCTACAAATACTCAGTCACACACTTGACAGTGAATCCCATGAAGCATTGTCAGAAGGTTCAAAAACGTAATAAGTTACTATATTAAATGCAAGGATTATTATTTATTATTCACAAATCTATACCATTTGTTTCAATTGAATTCTGTCCAATTTCCCATCTTACTTCTCATTTTCTCATTATTGACTTCCAACCTCCAAGAATTGCACTGAACCCCAGTGTTATCAGAAGTGCAAGGTGGTCTCACACTGTCCATGGCTGGGAACTCAATGGGGGAGAAAGCGTACCTTTGAACAGCTCCTGTACGCAAATGGATTTTTTCTGTGACCATGGCAAGTACACGATTCCAGTCTTGACTAATGTACTTTGGAATAAGCAATCGAACAGGGGGAATCAGCAAGTCTCCATTCGTAAAGATACTGATAGAAAAAAGCACAAATTGCAATCAGTTCATTAAACTTTTTTTATTCTTTCATAGCAAATCTTATTTTGAAACAAACAGTAATAATTTACATTTATAAAGCACCTTTCACGTCACAGAACATCTGCATAAATGACACCTAACAAACTTCCCTACATGTCAAAAGTCTATTTCAGTTTTGGATGTTACTTATGGAAAACATAATGAGCTGTATTTAAAATACATGGTTTGTTTTAGCACAGATTTAAGTGCGATCTGAACAATTTCCAAGTGACTGTTTGCAGCCAAGTTCTCTGTTTAGTTAATTAAATGTGGCTCTACCTATCTCAGCAGGTGTTCTGTATCAATTACATTACTGGCTCCCTCAGTCAGAGGCAAAATGCATCCCATTTTCCAGCAAAGCCATTAGGCTGAAGGATGATGATCGCGTCTTAATACCCTGGAGGCCCATAAACCAGAATGGACCATTGTGTTGTGCCTGTTTTACATGATTCAAAACAATTTAAAACAAGCAAGCAAAAAATATGCATGATTTTGTTGTGCGTTAAAACCAGAAAGCTCATGTTTTGAAAATGGAGACCGATGCTTCTCAGTGTGATACAGTGATGTGTTCCTTCATGGTTTTATTTTATCAATGTCCCAGATTCACAATTAACTAACTATAGATATCTCTGCAACACAGCTGAAACTTCACAGTAGGGTTTCTGTCCATTAAAGAAAAAAATAGACCCTTTTAAGGGCTTCCTAGTGGGCAATGGCTCACAACATAAACCTTCCCTTATTTTGGCACTAAATTGACAATCTCACTCAGATGTATGGTTGTTGTGGGACATGCAAATTACCATATTGATACAGTAAGGGGTACAATGCAAAGTTAGGGGCTGAGGCATGTTGGTTTTAAGAATCTCAGAAAAGGCTTCTAAATTAAGACTGAAATTAAGAATTTGCCCACAATTCTGTGCAGTTTTGAATTTTATATCAAAATGGTTTGAAAGGTTAAGACTGGGTGGAATTTCAGGCCTCAATGACTCTCAGCAGAAGGTTCCCCTACACACAAAAAATCACGAAAAAAGCAATTGAAGCAATCGAACAGGGGGAATCAGCAAGTCTCCATTCGTAAAGTGCCGAGTGAATTGTGAATTCAAATTGCCGAGTGTTCCACTCCATACAACTAAGTAGCCACTAACAGTAGACTAGACACAGTAGGGAGGGAGACAAGTGACAGATGGTTTCACTGTTCACTCTTTCCAATGAGCTTTGTAGTTGGGAATTATTATTTTCACATGGACTTATTTACAGTCACATAACTGTTATTTATAACTGTGGAGTCCTGTAGCTCAGTGGTTAAAAGCACTTGCCTCACAAACGAGAGACCTGGGTTTGATTCCCGGGCAATGCAAGACTTTGGGCAAGTTTCCTTACTCTACATGCCTCAGTTTACCTAGCAGTAAGGAGGAACCCGGTTGTTAGTCAATTAGTGGCTCGCTTTTCCAGGGGTAATAATTCCTTTATAAAAAATAATTTAGTAACTCAATCCATGATTGTTTGTGGGACACTGCTGTGCGCAATTGGCTGCTGCGTTTGGCCCACAAAATATATAGTCAATTCACTTTACAGTACACTCTGTGAAGCGATTTGATGTGATAAGGCGCTATAACAAATGCAAGGATTATTATATTTATTATTATTTTACATCCCTGTTTAGTTTATGCTGCATGCAAGATATCTTTTATTTCGTTAAGACTTTACAGAACTGCCCCTTTATTTAAGGCACAATTAAAGAATGACTGACCACAATATGCATTGCAGTAAAAATCAATATATCAATCTTTGCAGTGCTAGTTTTGTGTGTGTTTAATGTGGTACACTTTGGTGTTCGCTTCCTGTGGGTCATGAACTTCTCCTCAATGTGTCCTGAGAAGTGCTCTCTTGTTGAAAAAACAGTACTGGTTAGTGACCGCATAGCCACCTGCAGACATTCAGTGAGCTCAGTGCTGCCAGAGGCACTGTCTGATCTTACTGCTAGAAGGCCATCTGATAGTAACAAACTCTTCTCACTCCTGCTAATTTTCCTCTATCTAAAGTTGACAGTACAAATGCCTTCAAAGCACTCCCTCACAACCACAAGAACAGATTACATTTGTACAGCGCCTTTCAAGTCGGGAAGACGTCAGAAGGCACTGGACTTGAGACATCCACTACAACAACATCCGTTATTACCTCCTAGAAGGCAGAAGTTGCCAGAATTGATCTCAAGTGTGCGTGTGTGTGTGTGTGTTGGGGGATGAAGTAACCCACCAATCATAAGAGCATCCAGCGACATGATGATCAAAATTCAAAACAATCAAAATAATCTATTCAAAATCCTTCTGGTAGTACTTTAGCCTTTCTCTCATGGTGCACCCATTGCAACTTGTAGAACCTGCAGAAATATGTCTTCTTCAACTGTTCACCAATAATAATGCTTTTCAATAATGCTAGGTTTTCCAAGTCGCTCAGGTAGATCACGTACATTATTAGGGTCTAAGTTGTGATATTCGCAATGCTGCTAATTGCGATTTCACAGATGTCGTCAAGGCAGGAAAATAGACCAGAGAACAAAATGAACAGAATGAATTGTACACTGCCTTCGAGTAACGTGGAACCATATCCTATGGGGTTAAACACAACACTGTTCGCTAACACTGGTGAATATTTCAATCCACATTTACAATTAAATTTCCTTTTGTATGTGCTAATCCAAAGGTTTAGTTACAATAACTCAAACAGATGTGTTTCTTGTGGATTCACCAGAATTTAATTATGTGTCGCTGCATCAGATCAAATCTAAGTACTGCTGGACTTCTCGTTGAAGTGGAGTTGTTAGTCTGTAACTGTTGGATAGGCTGTATACTTTAGTGTAATTATCCGTGTAATGTTCGCAGTGTGCTTTTTAACACCGTCAATAAGAATCTAGGGGGTTATTAGTTTGACAGTGTATTTACCAATCTTGGCAATGCGCACTTGTAATAGAAATGTTTTCAAGGTCAGCAAATGTACCGCTAAGTGGAAAGCAAATGGAGTTCTGGGGATTGCTGCATTGTCGGGGGTGCCATCCTTCAGATGGGATGGTAAATCTAGGTGATGTACACGGTTTCAGGAGGATGTTAAAGATCCCATGGCATTATTTGTAAATAGAAGGGAGTTTCTTCCAGTATTCTGACCAACAGTTCCCACTTCACAGCTGTTTGTGGGACATTGCTGTCCCCATTTTTACTGCTATGTTTTTCTTCAAATATACAGTCTCTTCACAGTAAACTCTGGGATTAGGTGTTAGATGAATTGTCATAAATATATTATTATTAATAAAATTTTTATGTTTGGTAGCATTTTAAAATCAACTTAGGAACTCTTCTTTCACAATATTATAGATTGTGCACTGACATCTTGAAGTATAATTGGCAATTCTTCAATGTGTAATGTTCTCTTTTATGATTTAATTTGTATTTTCTATGGAGAGGCTTCCTTCCGCAACCCATATTTTATTTGATTAGCCGGAAACCCATCACCATGCTTAATAGTATCCAAACCAGACTGAGAGTTCCACATATGTATGCTACCTACACATGGAAAGTTTCCATTGTGGAATGCATGCTCTATCCTGGATGAGGGACAACTTTCTCCAGGGTGGCTGAAGGCACGGTCGAAGAGGAAGGTCTTCAGACGGGGCTTGAAGGAGGCAAGAGAGGGGATGAGGCAGAGGGATTGCGGGATAGAGTTCCAGAGTTTGGGGGCAGAGATGCTGAATCCCTGACCATCAATGGTGGGGTGGGAAGTGCCAGAGACTTGAAGCAGACTGGTGTCCACCGAACAGTAGGAGCAGTACCCCAAAACTTGGCTCAGGATGCAGATTACCGAGACCAACCCAGAGGGTTGATTAGTTCCCAACATTCTGTGGCCAAGCACACACCATATATGATTTAGCTATTCCAGTGGGAAAGTGGTATATCATATTGGTTGGTATCATCAATTGAGCGTTCTGCTTGGAAATTAGTGTAATTCCTGATGTATCCACTCAGTCCTCCACCTTTTCAAGGTTTAGAAAATGAGTGTCACATCTAAAAGAAACTGGAAGGAAAGATGAAATGGTCCTAATGAGGAACAAGTGTTCGAAATGCATTTAGGGGAAAACGGTAGTGTAAATGGTACCTTACACTGGAAACGAGGGCTCAGGGTGTAAAGTGTATCTCCTCCAGATAACCCAACATATGTCGTGAGAATTCAGCTCTGACCCTTTTTCAACCCCATTCCTAGCAAAGCTGAGTAGGTCCACGGAAAAGCTGAAAGTCTAGACATGCGCTCAACACTGCAAACCATAGTCCTAACAAGTAGGTAGCCGGAGCTGGAAAAGTACTATATTGCACAGTTAACATTTTATTGTCAAGATAAGTGGACATGGCAATGCACATTTGTTCAAGATTTATTCCTTAGTTTCATTTGAAACCTCCAGTGAGCTGATAAGTGGGGCCACCTATTGGATGACATTGGCTAAACAGGATTTGACACAAAAGTTGTCTCATTTATTAAAAGATCTTGCATTTGCCTTATCAACAGTATACAGTATACTGTACAGTATACTTTTTTTTAAAGAGGCTAACATGGCAACTATTTGCATAGGAAGAAAATCCTACAAACAATTCTAAAGTGATCAGCTATCTCATCTGGAGCATTGTGGATCAGGACATCAGGAGAAACACCATTCTCTTTTGAAATAGTATCATGGGATTATTAATGTCCATCTGAAAACAGGCAAACAGAACCTCGGTTTTAATAATAAATATAATCCTTGTATGTGATATATCGCCTTATCACATTATCGAGATGTCTTAAAGCGCTTCACAGGATATGCTGTAAAATGGTTGGACTGTATTTTGTAGGCAAAATGCGGCAGCTCATTTTGCCCACAGCAATGTCCCACAAAGAGCCATAGAATGAGTGATGAATTTTACTCTGGGGATAGTTGGCCAAAACACCAGCAGAAACTCCCTTCCCTTTTTGAACAAACCTCTGTTTAACGTCTCATCCATGAAACGAAAGTCTCATCTGCCTGTTCAGGGGATCATTAAAGATGCAAGATGATGAACGTTTTTGAAGGTTGACACTTCCAATGCTGGAGTGTTAACCTAGATTGTGAGTTCAGGTCTCAACGTGGGGCTCAAAGCACAACCTTTTAACACAGAGACATTCAATGGTATAATTTTATTTTAAAAAGCGTTTCTCAGTGATGCTAATATAATCCCTCAATCATCACAGAGTTCAGAGCTAAGACTATGTTTGGTTTTAATATTCTCACTGAATAAAACGTAATGATTTTCTTCTTAAACAGACAATTGCATTGTTAAAGTCTCATTTAAAGCCAGGCATTTAACTTGCCATCACTAAGACATTTCTGTAATCTGACACAAAATCAGCAGATTTGTAAAACAATATGGGATGGGTGGAGAATAAACTCCTCATCAAACTCTACACACACATCACCCCAGTCCTCACCAGGCTCCACTGGCTTTCTGACTCCAAGCAAATCGATTTCAGTGTCGTCACCTTCACCTTTAAATCCCTTCATGCACTAGCACCTCCATATACCTGTGATCTTCTCCTACTCCACTCTTCAGCTCGCCTCTCCCTCTGTCAGTAACCTGAGGGGGCTGTGTATCCTTTTCCTCTTCTGTGCTTTCATCAGTGGCCAAACCTTTAACAATTATGCCTCCAACTCTGGAACTCTCTCCCTCTCGCTTCCTTTCTATCTGTCTTTAAATCACACCATCTTTGATTATGTCTACAGTTGCTTCCCCCTTGCTTTTTCCTTGCTGAGTGTCCAACACCATCTACGTGAAGGCATTATTCAAGACATTATGTTGAAAACACATCATGGGTGTGTTACCTTATATTAATTATCACTATCAATATTTTTTATATAAAAAGTGTGCTCAAAATAAGTGAATAATTATCGCTAGTATCGAGACTTTGACCATTCCCCTCCCCTTCCTTCCCAAGGAAAGTGATAAGTACTTTGGCCACATTTTTGGTGGTTGCCATAATTATCACAAGTGATAATATCACTTGTCCCACTTTTTCACCATGTGAAATGACATGTTACCTGGTCCCAGCAATGGAAATGATTCATTTTAACAATACACATTGTTTGAGGACAGGATCAGGTTCACCTGTGATGTCTTTCACCATCCAAAACCAACCAACATTCACTGGCCGGGTTCACATATGGAGGTGGTCACTTGGGCAACATGCCAAAAGGCACACAGAACCTGTGGGCCCATAACCCAACTCACATCAACACCTTCAAGTGAGAAGGAAGAAAACGAGTAGGGAGGAGGAAGTAATCGAACACAGCATTTAACATTGTGGATTTCTTAGGTCAGCTGTTCATTGTATGAGTTTTATCGCTGTTCTCAGGACTTTCTGAATTCTTACCATTTCTAAAGCTGCACTGCCCCTTAGAGGCTAAATCTAAAAATCTAAATCCCACAAATTCCTTCTGAGTTGGAAAAAAAAGCAATACAACTGTTGCTTATTCCTCTCTCTACCCTGAGGAACATAGAGAAGTAGGGCATTATCCCATCCCAGGGCATTCAGTCATCCAGGCGGCTCTGGCAAACCTCAACGAGAAATTCCACATACATTTGTGTAATGGTATGTGGAATATACTCTTATTTTTTCCTCCTGCCTCAATCTCTCCACCTCAACCCTCTTCCACCTTAAGACCTATCTCTTTGACTGCACCTATGATCACTTCCCCCTACCCCACTCCTTTTCCCTTGCTCGACATTCAACCTTGCCACTGTGCAATGTTCTGAGACACTATCATGCATGGAGGTTCTATATAAATGCAAGTTGTTGTTCGAGTTCCTATATGGAGTATCTTGTATTTATCTCTATTGGAGATACTTTTCCAATAGTCAATCTCGGTACCATTTCGAGTACCTCATGTAAGATCTTCACTGCTTTCTCTGATTCCTGTTTTATGTCACTTGAAAATTCAGCTACATTGCATCAGACCCAATTCCAGGTCATTTATGAAGATTAGCAACTGGATGGATTCTGAGGCAACCTACTCAATTCTCCCCCCTACCATCTTGAGCAAGCTCCACTTAAGATTACTCTCTACTTATTTCTCTTTAGCCAGTTACTAACCACCACAACAACAAAATTACATTTGTGTAGCGCCTTTCACATTGGGAGAACGTCCCAAGGCACTGGACAGAGAGAGTTTCGGACCCGAGCTGAGGATCGATATCGAGGAGGGTGGAGGGCAGGGGGGGAAGCAGGGTGATCGAAAGCATGGCCAAAGAGAAGGGTCTTGAGATGGGTCTTGATGGGGGCAAGGGAGGAGGCGAGGCAGAGGCACCAAGGGATGGCATTCCAGAGGGTGCAGGCAGAGGTGGCAGATGGCCCAGCCGCCAATAGTAGGGTGAGTGAAGCAGGCCGGAGCCCACTGAGTGGAGGGAGCAAGCAGGAGGGTAGGGGGTTAGGAGGCCGCAGAGATAGAGGGGAGCAAGACCATGGAGGGCTTTGAAGGTGAGGTCCAGGATTTTGAATTGTATCCTCTGTGTGATGGGAAGTCAATGGAGTCGGGTGAGGATGGGGCGACAAGATCACGGAGCCTGGTGCGAAAGAGGATACGGGCTGCAGAGTTCTGGATGATCTGCAACCTATGGAGGGAGGAGCTAGGGAGGCCGACAAGCAAGGAGTTTGCATAGTCAAGCCTCGATGCAATGAAAACCTTTCATTACATCGAGACTTGACTCTGTAAACTTCTTGCTTGTATCAATGCTTGTATGAGGGTTTCAGCAGCGTGCGGAGTGAGACAGTGGTGGAGCCAGGTGATGTTGCAGAGGTGGGGGAAGACAAAGCTGGTCATGGCACAGATGTACGGTAGAAAGGATAGTTGAGGGTCAAACAAGATACCAAGGTTCCAGACTGGCTTAGTAAGGTGAAGTGTACAGCAATGGATGGTGAAGCTGTCAGTGCCTGATGTGTGGAGGCATTGACGGGAGCCAATCAGGAGTCTTGTTGATGTTCAACTGAAGAAAATTAGCTCTCATCCAGGACTCGATGTCTGACAGACATTCTGTCAGGGAGCAGTGATCCTGGAGTCAAGGGTAGAGGCAGAGAGATACAGTTGGATCTCCACTGCATAAATGTGGAAGTTGACCTCATGTCTGCCAACGATGTCACCAAGAGGGAGCATAAAGATATTGAAGAGGAGGGGACCAAGGACAGAGCCCTGAGGAACGCTGTATGAGACGATGCAAGGGCTAGAGTTAAAACCGTTTGAGGAGATGAAGTGCAGGCGGCGTGAGAGGTATGATCTGAACCCGTCAAGGACAGAGCCGTGAAGGTTGAGGTGGGAGGAGAACCACATCCATGTCCTACCATTGATACCAAGACATCAGTTTGTAAAGGGTTTTCTCATATGGAACTTAGTCAAATTTCAGATTATACAACAAACGCAACAGTCCTACTCACCAATCCTGGCCTCTTTCCATCTACAGACAATAATTCCCCATCCCAGGTACCACTTCCCACACAGCCCCAGCAGTAGAGAAACCAATGCATCCCTTGGATTATTTGTTCAGCTCAGTCTACATTTACCTCTGAATCCTCCAATCAATGACCTTGAAAATAGCTTACAATAACTATTAAACAGTTTTGATCAAAGTCTCAGGAAAAAGTATTCATGTTCTTAAATCAGCTGTGGTGCAAAAGGAAAGAAACAGCACGTAGGATAGGATTTAAAGTAATTTGGATCTGTTCAGCTTTAGAAACAGGAAATCATTTGTTTTATTCAAACACAGCTGTGCCTCTTATTTTGTGTCGAACCATAAAAACTCTTTGGATTTCACACTGCTGAGCAATGTCTCTGGCGTTATGTTCCCATGTCTAATGGCCCATCTTTACTTCTTTCATGGAACCATTGAAACTTACCATAGAGAAGGCCATTAGACCCATTCTGTCTGTACTGCTCTTTTAAACAGCAATTCTTTCAGTCCCATTTACCTGCTTTTTCCTCATTTTAACCACTGTTGCCTCGGTTTTCAATCAAAGGGCAAATATTCAAAAATGACACTAACTTAATGGTACATGGTTCATGGTTGTACTTCCTCCACCGGGCAGAGACAACTATTCGGCTGTGAACAACGGGTCTAATCTGGAAAAAAAAACAATAACATTTTAATGGTTGGCTGTTTGTTGGACTTTCTGTTCGTGAATAAGCTGCCGTTTTCACCTGCAAATATACAGTCACCACATTTTACAGTAAAATCCTGTGAAGCATTTTGAGACATTTCGATGACCTGATAACAACAACAATTTGCACTTATATAGTGCCCTCCCCACAGAGTAGCATCTCAGAGTGCGTAACAGTGGCAGAGCCTGAATCTGACCTGGGGTGGTGAGAGGTGACCTTAAGCACAGTTAAAAAGGAAGATTTTCAATAATAATAATATAATAATAATATTTAAATAATATTATTATATTATTATATTGTTATTTATAAGGTTTTCAGGTGGGACTTGGAAAAGCTGAGAGAGGGAACAAGGCAGAGAGATTGAGGGAGAGTGTTCCAGAGTTTTGGGGTGTAGTGGCTGAAGGCGTGACCTCTAATGGTGGAGTGGAGAGCGTGAGGGACAAGAAGGAGGCCAGTGCCAGTCGAGCAGATAATATCAAATGCAAGGATTGCAAAGCACTACACAGGTTTTACTGCAAAATGTGGTAACTGTATTATTAAGGCAAATGTAATAGCAAATTTGCATGCAGCAATGTGCCATAAAACAATCATGAAGAAAATGACCAACTTTATTTGGGGGATTGTTGGGCAATATATGGGTTAACTCCCTTCTCTTTTTAAATAATGCCATTTGATCTGCAACATCAGCCTGAACAGGCACGTACAGGACCTCAGTGTCATGTCTAATCTGAAGGACACCCTCCATCAATGCAGTTCTCCCACAGCACTGTATTGGAGTGTCAGCCTAGACTGTGAGTTCAAAGTCCTGATGCAGGGTTTCAACCCACAAGCTTCTGACTTGGAGACAAGTGTGTAAGATGACCACTTATTATTTGACTATGGAGTGCAAGATGACCATTTATTATTTGACTATGGAGTGCAACAGTGGTGTGCAAGACAGCATCTAATCCTGTCCTCTTTCAACATCCAAGCATGCGTACCTTCCAGTAAGTATCCACACAGAGATCAGTAGTGATTGATTTTTCCCTTTCCCTAAACCAAGGGTGCTAAGGCCAATTGCAGGACCCCAATTACAGGACTAGTTGAAATCAACTAATTCAACACTGAACAGGATTTGAACATGGGGTCTTCTGCATGGTTCTTACCCACTAGTTTATCAGTCGTTATCTGAGTGTTATATTTCAGAAGGTTTTTAAAGCATTGAGTTAGAGGTAGAATAGTGAATAACATTCAGGGGAGAATAATGGACTATTGAGTACACATTCTATACTCACAAACTTACCATTTCACTCTTCTTTCTTTGTGGCTTCTTTGTTGTTATTTGCAAATAGCTGTGTAAAAAAAATCGCAACTCAGATGAATACAATGTGATTCCCCCAGCCTGAATAATATTCCTTTCATTTGATATTCTGCATTGTGGGTGCAGTGACTCAAATTGCTGCACAAGAATTACTGAAAAGTGTAGTTGACTGTATTTTGTAGGCAGATACAGCAGCCAATTTAAGCACAGCAATGCCTCACGAACAGCCATACAGTGAAATTACCCATTTTATCTGAGGGATTATTGGCCAGGACACCTGGAGAAACTCCCTTCTTTTTTGAATACTGCCATAACATCATTAATAACATCAATAACATTGACAATAATAAATGCATTTGATATAATATCAAAACATCTCAAAGAGTGTCATACAAAGATTTACTTTCAAGTGTAGTCCCACTTGTTATGGAGGCAAAGTTGGCATTAACAAAAAGACAGAGCCATAAAAATGGCAGTTAATCTGTGCCTTAAATATCCCACAAGCAATAAGGTATGAATTCATTTTTTAGTGAATTTGTTTATTGGTTGTAAAATCGGAAAGGACAGCGAAACGCCTTTTTCATCTATAAGAGAGTTTCATGGGATAATGGATAATTAATACCATTAATTATTAATAATTGGTATTAATAGTCATGGCTGTTTGGGACATAGCTGTGCATGGCTGGTTCCTGCATTTGTCTACATATAATAATAATAATAATAATCCTTGCATTTGATATAGCGCTTTTCACATCTTCTCGACGTCTCAAAGCGCTTCACAAAATAGACTGTAAAGTGAATTGACCGTATATTTGTTGGTGAAACGCGTCAGCCAATTGCGCACAGCAGTGTCCCACAAACAGTTATGGATTGAAAATGACCAATTTATTATTGTTTTGTTTTGGAGGGATTATTATTAGGCGTGTGGAGTAAGGAAACTTGCCCAAGGTTTCACCCTGTCTGGAATTAAACTTGCAAGGTGAGTGCTCTAACCACTGAGCTACAGGACTCCATATATACAGTCACTACACTTTACAGAATGCTGTGAAATGCTCTGAGGGATATAAAATGCAAAGATTATTGTTATTAATATCAAGTGTAATATTTTTCACTGATGTATGTTTGTACATGTCAAACGACAAAGAGGCCACTGAACTTATTGACTGTTCAGGTGACAGTATACAGAGAATCAAACCCATCTGTAGTCCTGCAGGAATTAATATTGCAGTCACAACAACACTCCTAAAATATTTTGCGTATCTTTATTGCTTTATTATTGATGTTCGTTCAAGTGTTAGAATATATGAGCTGATAATGTACAAAATCGATCAGTCTGAGTGAATTGGAATTTGCCAGGACTTGCTGGCAGTCGAGGGGAACAAAAACAAGACTCAAACAGATTGGCGTGTTTGACGATGACAATTTGTCAAAATCCAACCATGTTATGTAATTAGGGCCACTGAGCAAAGGTACCAGCAGCTCTCATTTATGTTACACATTTGATTATGGTTTTATGACTACCATGTCCAGAATTGTAGCTGACTACTTACTCAAGAGTTTTAAATTTCTCCGCCCCGGCTGCCACATAGCTCGCTCCATTCTGCAGATCGTCCAGATCCAGGACCCTGTGTCCATCCCTGGGGGTATATATGCTGCGGACCGCCCCAAAGGGTGCGTTGATGCCCCTGGTGACCTGATTGAGGAAGTTGTCAAACGTGGAGACCTGTTTGTAGTTAATGAGAAATCTTCTGCCAGTAAAGAATGGGTCTCCGTTCCTGTAAACGATCACACTCTTAGCTGCTGGTGGCTGCGAGAGAACTCCTCTTGATGCTGTGGCCATAGCCTTAAAAAGTAATCATGACAACAATAAGAATAATAATCCTCATATTTAATATAGTGCCTTATCTTATCGTCGAGATGTCTCAAAGGATTATATTGTAAAGTGTAGTGACTGTATATTTCAGATGTCTCAAAGGAATGTACTGTAAAGTGTAGTGATGAACAATCCTGTGTTAATATCAGGGTCCAAACCCAATACGCAAATCCATCTTCTTTATACTGCTTTATAACGCTGTTCCACTGTGGCTTGTTCTTCTGCAGATCTAGTCTTGCCCTCACCATCATAAGGAGAATCAGTACTCGCTGAACCAAAATATTAAATTTTCTGGCTTGGAAGGAAACTTTATAACCTTGAAACAAAACAAAAGCCTTACATTAAGACCAGTTTAGTGCTTATCCTTTAGTTATCGATTGAAAGTGAATTACAGGTAGCCATTGCCTCAAACCTTTTAAGAAACGGTATAACTTTGGTCGATAAATTATCCACTCGTTTCAGGCGTGAACACCTCATGGAGCTATGAGCAACGGTTTGTTCTGGAGGAGCTTTTGAAAATCATTCAAGTATCGTTTTTATTTAAGACTGAGTGAGAGAAGGAAATTACATTTGTACAAACTCAGAGGCAGTGCTCAAATGCTGCTTCACTTAACTCAAGTCAGTATCCAGTTCTTCCATTTAAAAACATTTAAAAACAAACTTGAGCCTATCTGTCGATTTACAAAATAGCCCAAGTATATCTTCAAATTGCAAAAAGGAGCAAACTAATGTGCAATTTTGTTTTAACACTGTGAACTGTCACATGAAATCTGATATGAAATGTAATCAATTTCACCCCATCTGCTGTGTAATACAGCATATGATTGCCACCCACGTTACAGCCTCATAAATTGCGAGTGGATATCTTAAAGAGTGTATAAAACAGGATACAATGGTAAAAATCTAACACAATGATCAGTCCTGCTGCCACTAATCTCAGAAGCAACAATACCCTTCAAAAAGACCCATGGATAACAACTCAACCACTGTCTCCATGTAAGGCTTTCTTTGCGCTGCTGAAGCGATTTATGACATACTGCAGGTCTTTTTATTGTGAGTATTCATGTAGAGCCCCATGGTCTTGCTGCCCCCTACCTCTGTGACCCCCTACCATCCTGCTCACTCCCTCCACTCAGCAGGCTCCAGCCTGCTTCACGTCCCCCACCTTGCTTGCCCCACTATTGGCGGGTGGGGCTTCTGCCACTCTGCCCCCACTTTCTGGAACTCCATCCCGCAGTTCCTCTGCCTCGCCCCCTCCCTTGCCTCCTTCAAGACCCATCTCAAAACTCTCCTCTTCGACTGTGCGTTCGATCATCCTACTTCCCCTCCTCCCCTCCACCCTCCACCGACCCCAACCCCCAGCTCGGGTCTGAAACTCTGACAGTCCAGCATCTTGGTACGTCCTCCTGCCTTGAAAGGCACTATGCAAATGTAATTTTGCTGTTATAGAGCCATCGCTTCCCTGCCCTTCTTATAACGTCTAGGATCAGTGTATCTGAGAGTACCCTCTCTGCAATTACTTTAATACTGCGGAGTTGTGTAGCGTATTGGTTAGAGGACTCACCTCACAGCCGAGAGGACCTGGGTTTGATTCCCGGGCAGGACAAAACATTAGGTAACGTTCTTTACTCCACACGCCTCTGTTTACCCAGCAGTAAGTAGGAACCTGGTTGTTAGTCAATTGGCTTATCACTTTTCTTGGGATAATAATCCCGTCATAATTAAAATTAAAAAGCATAATAATTTGATCACTCAATTAACAACTGTTTGTGGAACCCTGCTATGTGCAATTGGCTGCCGCATTTTGCCCACAAAATATATAAAATTCCAATCATTGTGGGCTGAACACAATGTTGTATCTTTCACCCCTATAGATTTGGTCATAAAATATACAGTCAATTCACTTTACAGTATATCCTGTGAAGTGCTTTCAGACGTCTCAAAAACGTGATAAGGAGCTATATCAAATGCAAGGATTATTATTAATACAGACTAATTCATCTTGCTTCTCTGTTAGCCATAGCTTTTGTAAGGATGCCATTTCGTACAATGTTATGACAGGTATTACTGTGCACTAAATTATAGAGGACAAGGGATTAATTTCCGAGCCAGTTAAACCAAGTTAAATTATTGAAATCATTTTCATTTGATGGCTTATCTTACCATCAGCAATAAATTATTATTGAAGAATATGGAAGATGCCATCGTAATGCTTAGGTGCTAACTGTGCATAATTGTGGAAAGGACCAAATAGCCTTAATGTCCACAGACAGAATAACTCTGACTTCCTTCAGTAATTGTTCTGACAGCTTTTATTTCTCTTCCCAACGATCTCTCCATCAGCATTTAATTATTATTTTGTGCAATGACTAAGCAAACAGGTCCAGAAGAACAATCCTATGAATAAGGAGAATGTTTTATTTTTGGCAAATTAGATTAACAACAACAATTTACATTTATATAGTGCCTCTCACACCAAGAGGACATCTTCACACTGGGCATCCGAACTGGGAGGAGGGGGAGATGTGTATGTGTGTGGGTGGGGGGGAAGGGGGGGAGAATATGACTGAAATAATTAAAGCTATTGCAAAATAATTTTTGCTCTGACCAGACTGAGATAGAATTTCTCCATGTTAACTGATCCCACTAATATTAATTCTTGTGTTTGTTACAGAGCCGTAACACATCGTCATCATGGGAGGGAAGAAAGAGTGAAAAAGAAAGAGAAACTTTTTCCACTGATTCGTAAGTCAACAACAAGGACATAAATTGAGGATTATCATCAGAAGAATAAGGGAGGAAGATTAGAAGAAAATGTTTTACATGGAGTAGAATCCCTCACCACAAATAGATTTTTTTAACTGAATAAATAACAGCATATAAAAAGGATTTGGATAAATACATGAAAATATTAATATTAAAAACAATGGGAAAAGAGCAAGGCAATAGGATTAGAGTACTTTTTCGTGGGGATCGAGCAATAGTAAAGACATGATGGGGTCTGAATGGACTGTTTGTACGTTTTGGAGGTGGAAACATTTTACAAAAAACACAGCTTCAATGGTTCATAACTGGTTCAAAACTGAATCTAACCAATGAAAACCCCAGACTCACTAGACTGAAATAGCTGCATCAAAGGTGACGCCAGACAATTTTGGGGTTGCAAAAATTGTATCTAGGCTGGAAAGCTACCCAAACCTAGTAATAATAATTTTACAGTAATATTTGCATCTGTTTATCACCTTTCACATTGGAAAAATGGTTCACTGCGCCTTACAGAATTTGCTGTGAAGTGCAGGGACATATGGCATATGGCAGTCAATTTGCACACAACAAAGACTACAACAGCTATGAAGTGAACGATCCACTTTATCTGTGGGATTGTTAGGGAAAAACTGTTTGTGTTCTCTTCTCTTTTCAAACAGTGTCATGATATCTTGAACATCCGCTTGAACAGGTGGAACAGAGCCTCAGTTTAACATCTCATCCTCAGGGTCAGCATCTCTAACGACACAGCACTTCCCCAGCACTGCATTGGAGTGTCAGCCTGGACTATATGAGTTCAAAATCCAGATGTCGGGTTGAAGCCACAACCATCGACTTGAAGGTAAGAGTGCTAAAGTGAGTCAGGCTGACACCTGGGAGAAATCTAAGAGGCAAACCCCATGAATTTTCAATGAGTAAACACATCAGTGGCAACCAAAGGGTTAAATAGGGGCTCATGAAACTAACTAGGACATGCTAATAAACTTCAACTCTCATGCCATATCTGATCAGTCTTATTTGTGGGAAGTTTCACCCTCTCACTCTCCTTCTTCATCTGTTCCCGAGCATTAACTGATCTGCTTTTTGGTGATTGGTAAATTCAACCCATTGGTAACAAACATATATCCTAATTATACAAATGATATACAATACCAATGGAAGTAACATTGTCTATACAGAAAATAATAATAATCCTTGTATTTGATATAGCGCCCTACCACGTTGATAAGACGTCTCAAAGGGCTACATAGAATATATTGTAAAGTGGATTGACTGTATGTTGTGGGGGTAAGGTGGCAGCCAATTGCACACAGCAATAGACCATAAGACATAGGAGCAGGAGTAGGCCATTCGGCCCCTCAAGCCTGCCCCACCATTTAATAAGATCATGGCTGATCTTCTAACCTAATTCCACTTACCCGCCCTATCCCCATATCCCTTAATCCCTCTATCCTTTAGAAATCTATCAACCCCGGTATTGAATATGTTCAAGGACTGAGCATCCACAGCCTTCTGGGGTAGAGAATTCCACAAGTTCACTATCCTCTGAGTGAAGAAATGTTTCCTCAACTCAGTTCGAAAAGGCTGACCCTTAATCTTGAGACTTTGACCCCTAGTTTTAGATTCTCCAACCAGGGGAAACAGTCTCACGGCATCTACCCTGTCAAGACCCTTAAGAATATTATAGGTTTCTATAAGATCACCTCTAATTCTTCTATATTCTAGAGTAAACTAGTTTACTCAATCTATCCTCATAGGTCAACCCCCTCATCCCAGGAACCAACCTAGTGAATATAATCTACACTCCCTCTAAGGCAAGTATGTCCTTTCTTAAATAAGGAAACAAAACTGTACACAATATTCTAGGTGCGGTCTCACCAAGGCCTTATACAACTGCAGCAAGACTTCCCTACTCTTGTACTCTAACCATTTTGCAACAAACGCCAACATGGCATTAGCTTTCTAATTGCTTGCTGTACCTGCATACTAACTTTTTGTGACTGGTGTACAAGGACACCCAAATGCCTCTGAACACTAACACTACCTAATCTCTCTAGAAAACAATCCGCTTTTCTATTTTTACTACCTAGGTGAATAACTTCACACTTCCCCAAGTTATACTCCATCTGCCACCTTCTTGCCCACTCACCTAGCCTGTCTATTTCCCTTTGCATTCTTTGTGTGTCATCCTCACAGCTTACTCTCCCATCTATCTTGGTATCATCTGCAAATTTAGATATGTTAAATTCTATTTCCACATCTAAATCATTGATATAGACTGTAAATAATTGGATTATAACAATGTGGATTGTGTGACAATTTTTTTNAATTTGGAGGGATTATTACCGCCAGAAAGCGATCCACCAATCAACTAGCATTTGACACTACTGTAGACACCAGCAAGTTGAAAATGATCATTTTACTTTGTTTCATAATTCACTATAATCCTGCAATGCGCCTATATCTATCAGATATCAGACAACTATCAAACATTCAGCATCACACGCAATTTGACCTGTGTGTCCGCCTCACAACAAACCACCTTCCTCTGTGTTTTTCTCTATTTTGTAACAAAATCCTTACACCATAAAGTTTTTTTTGCATTCGGAAGTACAATACCACACAGATTCACACATAGATCAGAGTGACAGGGTAAAATCGAGGTATCCGGACGGTTATGTATTCTATCTTCACAAGAAAACGTTAATTACAAAATGCAAGGATTATAATTGAGATTTTTTAAACTAAAAAAAATATTTTTGTGACACTTCCTAATCAGTTAGATTGACCATTGCATATTTAAAACTACTGAAAGCGTGTACCTCCAAGAGCAGCATAAAGTGCCACTGAATGGACATTTCATCAGTACAGTATTTGGAGGAGTCTTTAAGTCCAGAGGGAAAAAGTTAGCAGAAGGAGAGAGTCAAACACTGACACAACACTTTCAGATTGTAACCCTGCCTCCCTCCCTTTAAGAGATTAAACCCTTTCACAAAGAACCAACATAGCAATAGAAAAGGGGAGAGGAATAAGAGAGTTGGAGGAGAGGGAGAATAACAAGGGGAGAGAGAATAAGCAGGTGTGAGAGAGAGAGAGAGAGAGAGAGAGACGCATACACACAGGAAAGAGTTGCTGAAGTTAAGGAAATAATAAAGAGAATGAGAGGCAAAGAACAGTGATTTGCAGAACAAGGAACAAGTGAGACAGGGGAGAAGGAGCGATACAGTGAGGGGAGGAATGAAGTGATCCCCCTACGTTGCAAAAGTTTAAAGAAAAAGAAATGAAAGTACAGTATTGAAAGTGGTAAAAGCTCACCTACTGCAGTGTGTGTGTGTGTGTGTGGGTGTTGAGCTGGGAATGTGGCTTGGCTTCGCTTGTCGCTGGCTGCCCACAGTCAGCCCAGCCCAGCCTGTCACACCAGCCATTCCCACACTGATTTATTCTGACCCACACCAAGAGCGGGTCAGCCCCGGGCAACCGGGGGACTCTCTCTCCTTTCTTCCATTCATTCCTTTTTTTTCACAAAAAAAATGTTTCAAGTAGCTCAAAGCAACAAAACAAAAGCCGCAGGTTCCATCCACAGGTTCTTTCGTCCAGCTCACTCCCCTCACTATGTCCCTTCTCCTCCTCTGTCTCACTTGTAAATAAATCACTGTTCTTTGCCTCTCATTTTCTTTTCTCAACCAACTCTTCCCTGTGTGTGTGTGTTTCTCTCTCTCTTCACCTGCTCTCCTCCAACTCTCCCTTATTTCTCTCTCTATTTCTATGATTTCACTCTTTCTCATTCCCTTTCCCTCTCTCTCTGTCTCTCTCTCTTACCTTCTCCCCATTTTTACTTTTATAATAATAATAATAATAATTTTGCACAAAACCCCCCTCTCTCTTTCTCTCTCCCCCTTCTCACCTGGCTGACTTCTTCCTATTGCCTTTTTCTATCTCTCTAACTGGATCTTGTCTGTTTGCTACTCCCCTCCCTTTGCCACTATCTCTCTATCACTCTCTGCCTCACTATATCACTACATTCTCTGACTCTCACTTTCCTGAACTACCCCTGTCCAATCCAACATATCAGAGTACTGAACCTTTCTCGACAGCATTGAGTTAGGTGATTACAGGCAGGAAGCATACCAGCACGGGAACACTCAGAATATTATCATTTCACAAAAATATGAATAGAATCATACAATTTTGCAGCACAGATGGAGGCCGTCGGCCCGTAGCCTCATAGAGTTATCCAATTAGTCTCACTCCCCTGCTCTTTCCCGTTAGCCTTGCAAAGTTTTCCTTTTCAACTATATATTCAATTCCCTTTTGAAAGTTATTATTGAATCTGCTTCCACTACCCTTTCAGGCAGTACATTCCAGAGCGTAACAACTTTGAAATATTTCAGTCATTGGCCAACATCTGTTGGCTTAATCTTACGGAGGTCCAAGCAACCTTTAGAAAGTACTCAAGTATTGAGTACTTGATTACTTTTAAGGGTTGCTTGGACCTCCGTAAGATTAAGTACTCAAGTATTGAGTACTTAAGTAATTTCAGGACAGATACCAGGAAGCATTTCTTTAACCTGAGGGTAATTAACAATTTGAACAGATTACCAGGAAGGATGGATGAAGCCACGACACTGGACTCATTTAAGAAGCAGCTGGATACTTTGATAGAAGAACGATGGGGTGGGTATACCGGAAGATGGAGATCAAATGTGTTGTAGGACTTTCTTCGTCAGAACCTCTCTGTGAGCTTGTGGTATGTAGGAAGAAAATCACCAAGTTGTTGTTTCTTCCTACATTACCTGTGAGGGAGATATTCATGTTTTCCCACTGGTGTTCAATTTCAGAAATGTGAGAATGATGTACACTGTTCAAAGTCTGCAGTCCAAGCTCTGTGGCTGGCAGAGACTCAAAAACAGAGAGCAAAGGTCAAAGGAATAATTCCACAAAGCAAGCCTGAAATTCCATCTGGTCCCAGCTTTAAACAACATTTTGCCTCAACGTTTTAGATTGCACTGTCACGTGGAATGTTTTTTTAATTCATTCTCAGTTTGGAAGTCGGATTTCCACAGTTCTTAAAGAACATAATGACTGTGAATAAGCGACCGTGAAAACTATTACTGGCCACTGAGGGATCAGGCCTGCATCACACCACGATTGTGTATTTGGAGGTCCTCCAGGCACCACCCACAACCTCACCTTTACCAAACTCCATATGTCCATCTCCCCAGTCCTTGCCAGTACTAATGGCTCCCTGGCTCCCAACATGAGTCCAAGGTCCTCACCCATAAATTCCTTCACATCCTGGCACCTCCTCATCTGTCATCCCCCATTATCAACCTGTCCACTTCCTCCACTCACCAGGCTCTGGTCTGCTCCATGTCCCCTGCTCTGCCCCACCATTGGTGGTTGGGCCTTCAGCCTCTCTGCCCTTACCCTCTGCAACTCCATTCCATATTCCCTTCACCTCGCTCCCTCTTGAAGGCACATCTCAAGACCCTCCTCTTCGACAGTGCCTTTGGCCATCCTCCTACCCTCTCTGCCCTCCACCCCCCTGATTCCAAACTCCCTTCACCCCCACCCTCGGGTCCTAATCCCTGACTGTTCAGCACCTTGGGACGTCCTTCTGACATAAAATGCGCTTTACAAATGCAATTTTGTATTGTACTGTATCTTCTCTTACCCCAGTCTTCTGCTCGACCCCTCCGCTCGGCTATCTCTGGCTTCATAGAATCATAGAATTATAGTACAGAAGGAGGCCATTTGGCCCATTGTGTCTGTGCCGGCTCTTTGACAAGAACTATTCAATTCAATCCCATTCCCCCACTCTCTCCCCATAGCCCTGCAAATCTGTCCTCCCCAAATAATTATCTACTTCTCTCTTAAAAGTTGTTATCAAATTGGCTTCCACCACCCTTTCAAGCAATGCATTCCAGATCTGAATAACTCGCCGTGTGAAAAACATTCTCCTCACCTCCCCTCTGTTTCTTTTAGCAACTATTCTAAATCGGTTCCCTCAGGTTACCGGCCCACCCTCCAGTAGAAATAGTTTCTCCTTGTTCACCCTATCAAATTCCATCATACCTTTGAAAACTTCTATAAAAGTCTCCTCTTAACCTTCTTTGCTCCAAGGAGAATATTTCTAGCTTCTCTAGTCTCTCCTGAAAACTGAAGTCCCTCATTTCTGGTAATATCCTGGTAAATCTCCTTTGCACCCTCTCCAATGCCTCGACCTCCTTCCTAACATACGGTGCCCAGAATTGAACACAGTCTCTAGCTGAGGCCTAACAAGTGTTTTATAAAGGTTCATCATAACTTCCTGACTTTTGTATTTAATGCCCCTATTTATAAAGCCTAGTATTCTGTATACTTTTTTAACAGCTTTATCTACCTATCCTGCCACCTTCAAAGATTTACTTATATGATCCCACAGTTCTCTCTGTTCCTTCAACCTCTTTAAGACTGTACCATTATATTGCCTTTTCTCATTCTTCCTCCCAAAATGTATCACTTCGCATTTCTCCACATTAAGCTTCATCTGCCACGTGTCTGCCCATTTTACCAGTCTACCTACGTTCACTTGCAGTCTGCTACTATCCTCCTCACTGTTTACTACTTTTCCTAGCTTAGTATCATCTGAAAACTTGGAAATTGTACTCCCTCTACCCAAGTCCAGGTCATTCATATAGATCAAAAACAGCAGTAGTCCCAATACTGACCCCTGGGGGACACAACTGCACACTTCCTTCCAGTCAGAAAAACAACCATTCACCACCACTCTCTGCTTTCTGTGTCCCAGCCAGCTCTGTATCCATGCTGCCACTGTCCCTTTAATACCGTGGGCTTTCTATTTTGCTTAAAAGTCTCTTATGTGGCACTTTATTAAATGCCTTGGGACTTCCTCTCAACGTGAAAGGTGCTATACAATTGTAATTTTGTTGTTGTTGTTTTGAAAATCCATATAAACTGCATCAACTGCACTAACTTCATCCACCCTCTCCGCACAGTGGGCTTGCTGCACATCCCCTGCACTTCCTGTGCCTCTATCAGTAGCCAAGCCTTCAACTACTATGCCCAAATCTCTGGAATTCCATCCTCTACCCCCACTGTCTCCATCGGTCTTTAAATCCTGCCTAAAAACCTACCTCTTAAATCATGTCTACGGGCACCCTCCCCCTTTCCCCTTGCTCAGCATCCGACACTGTCCTGGTGAAGTGCTCCAAAGGGCGATACATCAGTGAAAGGTTGTCTTTGTTTTGATAAGGTACAAATACAAAGATTATTATGTTATCATTTTTGTTCTCACAAGGGCTGCTGCTTTTTGTTCTTATGATGTGACTTCACTCCTGACTAAGCAAAATGCCGTTCAAGCAGATATCAAATCACTCTGTCAAATGAGAATACATTTGGCCATATATTTTGGTATTTAGCAGCCCCATCAGTAAATTGATGGCAAATTCCATTTTGCAGACTGAGTAACAAAAGGATTTTATTTTTAAAAAATAAACACAAAACTAAGGAGGAAGAGTCTCTGTTTAAAAAGAATTATACATAATTTATAGCCTTCATTAAGTATTTTGTCATTTGTGAGTGTTGGCTTTCAGCGTTTACAGGATAGGAATTGTTCAGCTCACACCTCGTAGTCTGTGTGACTCTGGGGCAAGTAAATAATCCAGAGATTCTCTTGATTCCTTTTTGAGGGCTAGGAAAAAGAAATCAAAATTTTCGTCAAGAGATTAAATAAATGAGTGGAACACATCAGGGGTCAGCTGGGGTCAGTTGGCAGTACTCTCATCGTGGAGTCAGAGACTGTGCGTTTAAGCCCCCTGCCAGAACTTTGTGTTTGTAGTCTAGGCTGAAACTCCAGTATCTTACAAGGTGTGTCATTGCATTGTCAGAGGTGCCATCCTTCTGGTGAGATGTTAAAACCAAGATGCCAACTGCTTGGTTGCAAAGATCTCAGAATACTATTCGATACAATACAATACAAATTTACATTTATATGGCACCTTTCACATCAGGAGGACAAAGTGCTTAACAGCACTGGCTGAGCTGGGGGTGGGAGCCGGCAGGGGTGAGAAAGGGATTATTCAAAAATTCAAATAAAGGACAGTGAATTTCTCCTATTGTCTTGATCAACAAACTTCCAGATATAACTGGATCATTTGCATCATGGTTGTTTGTGGGACTTCACTGTGCCTTCCATAAACAGCAACTACTCTTGACGATGATTACTGTAAAGCACGTTTTAATAATTTATTTTAATAAGGTAGTATAAAAATACTGTAAGCTTCAGAGTGTGACGGAGTGTGAGGATTTCGCTCTCATGGGCCGGAGGGAAATTTTGCAAATGTGGTGGTGCATCCCATTTCACAGAGAGCTGTGAATTTGTGGAATGGACTGCACTGGGACAGAATGGAGGTATATTGTATCAGTAAACTTGAGTGAATTAGCTATTTGACAAAGAAATTGATTGAGGGGCATGAGAGATAATGTTTTTTTAAATATCTTTGCAATTATTTGTTTTATATTGGAGTTTCTATGATGTGCAGCACAGTGGAGTATTATTAAATAATAATTGTATTGTTCCGTAATAATAAATATTATTATTATTAAAAATAGTTCTTCCCCACAGAGAGAAAGCAACCTAGTTTTCACTTGCACACTTACTAACATTTCAGTTTTTCTCAGTGTCCTGGATTACAATTCCTCTAATAAAATTGATCATTCACTTTACTGACTGTCAGTGGGACAATGCTGTGCGCAAATTGGCTGCCGAGTTTGCCCACAAGAACACAGTCACTACACTTTACAGCAGTGAAGCCCTTTGAGACATCCTCCCAGTCTAAAATTATTACTATTTGGCTCACGTGAAAAGCTTTGAGATGTCCTTCCTACACGAAATAATCAATATCAGGGTTATTATTATTAAAAGTCCACTCTTCCCCAATCCTTATTTTCCTTATATATAAACAGATAAAATTGCCCACTATTGTCGCTTTTCAGAGATGATAGCCACTGTGAAGTGAATTACAGTAACTTTTATTGGTACTCTTTTAGTTCTAGCCTCCAAAGTGTCCGTTGTTGGAGATATCAGCACATTCTATCTGGGTGATTATTACCGTCCAGTGCTAACAGTTCATTACTCCCACTGAACAGAAGAAATAATTGTTCTGCCCTTGAATGACTAGAATAGTCACCTCTGTGAAACATTATTTTTCAGAGTCTCAAAATAATGATTAACAACATTTGAGAAATTCTACCCACACAGCTGCATGTTGACTGATTGGGAAGGATTACAACTGTTTTGTTACAGAGTTAATTAGTAACCCACGTTCTTCAATATGTAATTGTTCTGTAGAACAAGATACAAGGCAGCTTTGGACATCACATGAAAGGATTCATCACACCTGCAATCCTATATGATGCTTCCTTTCACAGCTGCAGAGTGTTCAATTATACAGAAGTAATGCATATGCTAACAAGTGCTGTGTTGGGACAGGGGCCATCAAAGATTATGAGTCACCTATTTTGTTTGTCTCCACGGTTGCAAAGTAGACAACATGAGCATTTCTGTTCTCGTTCTTTCTTGCAGCTTGACATATTTTAATGTGTGTCTTAGAGGTGAAGCAGATCGCTGCATTTCACAGGTAATTACTGTGAAGCACAGCCATTGCTTTTGTAAGCAAACACAGCAGCTATTCTGCACCAGCAAGGTTCCACAAACAGCCATAAAGTGAACAGCCAATTAATCTGGAGGCCAGGATATGGGGAGAAATTCACTTCTCGCTTTCAAATACTTTCCAAGAGATTTTTACTGTTTACCTGAGAGCTTTGCCACTATGGTGTA